GTGCAATATTCTACATTTTGGATTGTTGATTGAACAGAGTTCTGACCCATTGATTCAGGTTTTATTCTGTTAAATTGAATAGGGTGGTTTTTCACTCACAGCCAATGAAAACAAAGTTAAATGTCAATGTCAAATTTATTTATATAGCACTTTAAAAACAGGTATAAAACTGCACCACAGTGCTTTACAGGAAAGACATCAATTATCAAAACAGAATGTTAAACACTGCTTCAATGAAAAGCCGAAGAATAAAAATAAGTTTTAAGAAGTGATTTTAAATGATCCAGGCTGTGGGCGGATTTAATTTATAGAGGTAAATGGTTCCACAGAATTGGAGCAACAACAGAGAAGGCCCGATTTCCTTTCCTCTTCCAGTCCGAGGAACTGTCAGTAATAGTTGATTATTAGAACGTAGACTTCTCGACACAGACTGGAATTTTAAGGATAAGGAGGAGCTAAACCATTTAAGACTTTATAAGTTAATAAGAGAATTTTAAAATCTATTCAGTAAAAGATTAAAAAGAAAATAAGACCAAAAAATGTTTTCAAAACAGAAATGTGGGATTAATAAAACATATGTTTAACTTTTAATCAGATGTTTGATATTTTAATTTTGTGACTTTATATATAGGAGAGTGGGTTACCTGTGCTGCCTTCAGGTACCGTTTGTTTCTCAGCCGTTTTGACTTCTGTTGTAAATATAAAACCATACTAAATATCTTAATGTCTTATAAAACATGAGAATAACTCAAATGAAATATTGCATTCAGGTTTTAACTCTGAAGGTCAGTGTAATAACACTAACAAAGCTGCCCTGTGTGCTGAATCACATTTCTTCTCTGCAGAGTCACACTGGCTGAACTTTACCTCCAAGCAAGAAAAAAATCTAGTTTTACACCGAAATCTGATGTTTTAACTCCACTTTGCTTTTATATAAGTACATTTTTTAAATGCAATAGTTAAGCTATAAGGGTAAAAGGTTGAAATAATAAACAAATTGACTTGCAAAAAAGAGAGAGGGGAAGATAATTTACTCAATAATAGAATCATTTTCTTTCAGTTTTTAGCGCTATTAACTTTTATCTGAGATAATTACAGATGTAACGGTCAAGTTTGATCACATTTTACCCGATCTATGTGTATCAGTTACATATTTCACTCCTAAATCCTGTCAATTAGTGGTTGTAAAACATCTAATCTTAATTACTGACAGATGTATGTTTTTTTTTTTTCTCAAAATTAGGTGAAAATTACAACATTAGTGACACAATCAACTGCTGAACTAATTAATCTCAGCTAAAATTCCCGTAACCTTGAAGAATCATGTTTATTAATAATGTATTTATGATTTCAAAATATCAATCACTAATCTTTAAGCATTTAGTAAATAAAAGCCCTTCACACAAACGTAGATTTTCTCCTTAGGTTGCTTTATCTGAATTAATGGAATCATACAAAAACAGAGACTTTGACAAACAGGAAATGTGATTTTATCCCCAACTAGATTATTTCCAAAGATTTAAAAGCTGAAAAGGCTCAGTACAGTAGATTATTAATAAAGAATTAATTTGTTTTAATTCTAAATACTTTTACTTTGAATTTTCACTAACGAGACCTAACCTGGATTGACGGCCTCACAGCAGTATCAAGAAATGATGAAGTTGATCTTCATATCGCAGATAAAATTAGGATAAAAGAAAACCAATTTTCTTTAAAAACTCAAATTAAACACAAATACGGCACCCTGCTAAAATTTTCACACCCCTTTACATTTTGAACATTTTGCTCAGTGTATCTTATTGGTATTTTTTGCTGCAAAACACCAACACAAAGAAATACACGATTGCAAAGCTGTAGAACGACACAAAAGGATTAACTTTTTATAAAAATGTGGCACATACAGTTAACAAGCCCCTTTAACTCTGTTACCCCTTAAAATTGTTTCCTCATGTCTAAATTTTCTCTGAGCGTAACAGATTCAACTCCTGACAAGTCCGCCTTACATCCTAAACATCTGGCATTAATGGACATGAATGTTGGATTAAAGAAAGAAAATTAAATATTTAATCTTTGCTCACATCAGATTAATGAGTATTTGTTAAGCCACAAGGCAAATTGATACAGCTAATCACAAGGTGCTAAAATGAGCTTTAGATAAGGGATTTTGCTAAGATTTAAAAGAACACATGATGTTCGCAGATGATCTGTGTCAAAAAGGTCAGAATTTTAGTTTGTCTGAATAATTGTACCCCAAAGCGCTCACAACTGCAGGAAAAGGTATTTTTTTTACAAAGTAAAGGCTGGAAAAATGAACGCAGAGGCCTTATTTCGAGTTTTTTTTCTTCCACTTCAGTTATAAGGCATTGGTTTATCTCAATCAAGTAAAAAAAAAAAAAAAAAAGTTTTTAAGGGGTATGCATTATTTTGAAATGTATTGAACCTCAGCAGCTGTAGTTTCTTCCCTAAGAAATGCAAAGAGAACATTAATGTAAACACAGTTAACATAGCAACATTTTAACGACTAATTTATAAGAAAAACACACAGAAACAAAGAAAAAGTCAGGACTTTTACCTTTACGCCTCGTGGTTGTTGTCCATTTATTAGTTTACTCCATTATTAAGCCCAGAAATCTTCATTAGGTCACTTTTTACATTGTTTTGTGACAAACATCCTACGTGTGTTGACTACAAATCTTCAGCACAAATTAGATTAGATTAGATTAGATGAGCTTTATTGATCTCACAGCGGAGAAATTCACTCGTCACATATTGGCATAGAAGTTAAAGAAGAAGGTGCAAACAAGGAGGAAAAAGGTGCATTAAGAATAAACAATATATATACAGTATATCAAGATAAATAAGGATTAAGGTGCAAGTGTACATGTATCACACAATAAAAAACAAAATAAAAAATACAAGGGAGTAGCACAGAGATTTGAGGTGTCATATGTACAATCCGGATGGCTTATATTAACGATGTAAAGAAAAAAACTTTCAAATGACACCAGAAATACACAAACTGAATCCTTCTTTCCTTCATCGCCCTCTTAGATCAATCAAACTCAGGACCCTGTTGCGTATTTTGGTCAATTTAAATCCATATATCAAAGGGTTCATCATCGGGGGAAAGACGAGAAACTCTATGGCGATGAAGTTTTGAAGGCTTTGAGGCAAACCTGCAGAGCCGAACCTCATGTACATCAAATCGAAAACAATCACAGTGAGAAAAGTGATCAGAGAGATCAAATGAGGCACGCACGTCTGCATGAACTTCACCCTGTCGTCTTTGGAGGCTGCACACGTTCTGATGAGGTGCATGTAAGTCCAGATGATGAAAAAGCCGTGAGACACATAGATGAAAATTGTGGCATATGAGACGATGCTGTTTGAGAGGGTGTTGCTGCCTGGGCAGGCCAGCTGAACGATGATCCAGTTCACACAGAGGAGTCTCTGAATCTTCAGGCTGCACAGCTCCAGTCTGGATGTGAGCAGAATACTGATGGAGAATATGCAGAAAGGAGTTAGCCAGGAGAAACTCACCAGCTGAGAGAGCCTCCTCTTGGTCATCAACAAGCGGTAGTGCAGCGGGCGACAGATGGCCAGGTACCTGTCGTAGGCCATGACGGCCAGGATGGACAGCTCGCAGCAGGCAAAGGAGTACATGACAAAAGCTTGGAAGAGGCACCACTCGTAGGAGATTTCCTGAGCAATCGACAGCAGGTCTAACAGGAATTTAGGATAGAAACCAGTGGTGCCATAAACTGCGTTAATACAAACACAGCACAGTAAAACATACATGGGTTCATGCAGGTTTTCATCCCACACAATAAGGACAACCAGGGAGATATTTAAGAATAAAATCACACAGTAATACACCAAAGAGAGCGAGAAGATTGCACCTCTGTAGTCCATTGTCTCATTCATCCCTGTGAGAGTAAAGCTTCTAACAACGGAAACATTATCCATCATCAGAGAGCAAAGTTTCAGAGTTCAGCCTGTGAAATATTTCATGATGGAGCAGAGAGAGGCTCTGCTCTGACTCTCCTCCCTTCATTTCAGCTATTAATAACCGCTCTGACTGACAGACTCCAGCCTCTGCTTTCTGCAAACTTAATGAACCAATTAGAGCCACAAACAGCTGCTGATTATTCTCCAACATCTGTTGCTTAACCAACTTTTTTCTGTTTGAAAGACTCACATCCATTTATTGCTTATCATTAATGATCCAAATTATAAATAAACAGTTTAACTCGTGGTACTTATTTATGTTTTATTTAAACTAAATCAAATGAATCCTTTCAAGAACATTTTATATTTTACTACATAAATGCCTCATATATCAATTACTATATAAGACTGGGTAAAACAATTGATTTAATCGATTTTGAATCGATTCCTTTACATTTTTGCAAAATTGATGTGTAGGCAATGAGATCGATTAGTTTTATAGTGACACGCGTGATGTTCACATTCAAATGAGTGTGCAAATGCCGACCCAAGTAACACACCGCTCAGCAAGCTGTCCCACTGAAGTCTGATGTCTGGAACCATTTTGGATTTAAAACAGCTACAGATAATGTGCTGGATATGTGACATCAAGGTGACTTCCCACTACACTGATAAGGAGTGGCGCCTCGCATCTCGTGCTACAGTCCAACAAGATTACTTCGAGCCAGACAGCTGCAAATTTTTTTAATGCAAACATTAACAAATGGGGGCCTAACAGCAAACACCCTGTAGTTGTTACAGACAACGCTGCAAATACGGTTTGTGCAAAGAAGATTATGCAGCTCATGCATGCATGTCTGCTGTGTCCCATCTGCTCGCGCGTGTGAGGCTTCACTTTTTCATTTTTCACAAACAAGTTTGCTCTTCTAAGACAGTTTTGTCCACATCTCAAGTTTAAACTGTCTGATTTACTAGTTTGCACTTTGTGTTTAATACGACATGAAAAAAATAACAGAGTATTTAGAAACGCAGTTGAACCACTTTCATTATTGTAAAAACAGATCGAATCGATATGAATCGATTTAGAACTGTATGAATCAAAAATACCCTGCCCTATTATTATACCTTTAACCTTTCTTATTATATTACATTAAAACTAAAAATTAAACCTACTGAATGATAGCATCCCCACAGCATGGTTCTGCCTACACCATGTTTCACAGTCTTGATGGGGTGTGCAAATGTTCGCTTTGAACCTTGTGGTGTTTTTTTTTTTTTTGCATGTTGGCACGTAACACACTTGTCTTGCATTAGATTTTACAATTAGGCAAGTACATGGGTCTGGGGATATTTTTATGTTTATTTTTCTACTTAAATAAAAAAATGATAAAGCAGTTTTTAAATCTTAACATGACAGGACAGCAAAACTAATTTAGACGAGTGTGAAAATTGTGGTTGTAAAGTCGCACAACTCTGCAAACAATTGAATAAGTCAGTTTTTCTCAAAATAACTGCCTTTTTTAAACTAGAGAGACATTTTTCCAATGGAATAAGACAATTTACATTTAAAATAAGAAACCTCAGTCTCTTTTTTTCAAGTGCATAATATGTAATTATCTTATTTTACAGGTAAAAATACTCATTACATGTCAGATCATCTTATTTACGTTCTCAAATTAAGGATAAATAAACTTATCTTAAGAAATTTTCTCACATTTTTAGATCATTTTTGCAACAAACCCCCTTCCAGCAGTTTATAGAACAGATAAAAACCCATTAATATTTGTTATCAGACGTTATTTAAAAAAAAAGACATTGTATAACTAAAAGAAGAAACATGCTGGTGTAATTGGATGATTACTTCCACTGCAGTGGGAAGCCTTTTAGCCTTTTCAAAGTTGGACAAAGGTATCCAGATCTGGTTTCACTCTTTTGTCTCAGACCGAAACTGCTGCAGAAAAAGACCCAGAAACATTTTTAGGTCACCGTCTAATGTCAAAAATGACTAAAATATTCATATTTTAAGAAATAATATGGTTACCAGAATTATTTCTATTTGGTTAATAACAGAAATAGAGATAAAACCCAAAAAGCTTGGAATAAAAAAACAAAAAAACATGGACTTAATTTCTTATAAGTTAAAACGTTTTGTTGTTTTTTGGATTCATCCTGCCCTGGGTGGCTGAGTCTTTAAAAGCAGACATTTACATAGACTGACGCTACTTTTGAAAGTCCTGAAGATGATGTCACACTTTTATAACCTTCTGATACGCTCATTCACAACATTTTCGGAGGCCCACCACTGGAAGCAATTGGAGTAATCATCTTAAACACACAGTTTTCCTTTTGTGAGGTAATGAAGAACAAATCAAAAGCAATCACTTGGTACCATCTGGTGGTATCATTAATTTATAAAATTACATGGAACAATTATGCATAGAAGACTTAAGTCTAAAACTACTTTGTCTGTGATTAGAAAATGTTGCAAAAGTGGCATTGATTTAAAATAGAAAGCCCTGATTTTATTTAGACGTGTCAGTAGTAATCTATTAAATAAAATCTTCATAGGCATTATGACAGTAAAACTCTTATTATATTTGCAGACCAGCTTTTTGCATGTTTGCACCTGAAAGGCCTCCTTGATATAACCCCAATCTTAACCCTTTATAGGGGAAATTGCCATTTTTAGTCACTTGTATGCATACCCCCTTACAAATGGCGTCCCCCTCATCCCTTAGCCAGGTCTAGATGCACAGATTTATATCCAAACATTCAGCAAAATTCTGCTACATGGCTGTAGCCTACATGTTATTTTGGCAATTGACCAATTAGATGAGCCCTTTAATGATACATTAGATCCTGTAAATGAAGTTGAAAAATAAGTTGAGTTGAGAAAAACAGGTACAAAGCTAATTGAAAACCTGAAAATAAAGTTTTTTTTGTTGTTTTTTAACTCATACTCAAGTTAAAATGTGTTGCAGTAGTGCTGCTCTGTCTTATCTACATTTTTGATACCCTGCCCACCTCTACATGGACTAAAGCTTAATAAGCTTAGGCAGAGGCTGTAAAAGTAACATAAAATCCTTTCTTAGCAATTGAAAAATGCTCATCATGAGTGTCTATTGAAAAGATGAGAGCTTATGCCCCACTGTGCTGGCAGAAAGCCGTTTAACCCTCTATGGCATTCTGTTGCCCTCAGGCAACAAACCACTATTTTGGCCCACACACCGCCCCTTAACATTTTTTTTAAGTAAAACATCACATTAAAAGTCTGATGATATGTCTGTGACCAATGAAATTTGGGCTAGGCGTGGCTTTGACCTTTGTCTTGGAGTGAAACAATCCTTTTTTGGACCGCAGCTGACTTGGACACACCGCTAGCAGAAGGTAAGATAAATTTCACTTTTTTACATGTTTAAATTTAAATAATTTTGTATAAATAATATCTGTGATGTGCATGAATAAGTAAAAAAGCATATTTGATTGAGCAAACACACCTTTTGTCTTCATTTATATACTAAAATGGCAGTTTTTCATTCGTTGCCTCAGGGCAACATTGTGCAGTTAGACCACTTTTGTGTGAACTATAACATGCTCATGGATGGAGATGTGTAGAGATGTGTAGTTATCAACATAATCTACTATTCTAATCTACTATCTACTATTATTCACAGGAAATGGATGCACAAAGATTTTATC